ATTTTACAGATATTTTTGACATCTACACTAATAAAAGAGAAACATGTAAATTGACCATCCCTCCACTACACTCACCACCCAATCAGGAATGACTATGCAAATTAACCCGACAAAGATGGCGGGTTAATTTGCGTATGTAGGTGTCAAGCACCCCGGGAGGCGATGGTGGCTGCGAGCTCCCAGGACAATTGCCACCCCGGGAGGCAAGGCCGGCTGGGCCAAGCCATGCCCGTGGGCTCCCGGGACCTTCGCCGGCAGAGAGCAGAGCAAGAGAGCAGGTGGAGAGTGGGAGGTTTAGAGGACTTGGCAGAGTAGGAGGACATAGAGCAGAGTGAGAGAGAGGGTGGCTTGCGGGGCGTGGCTCCCTCTGTCACCCCAGCTTCCTCATCACAGCTGTGGAAACTGATAGCAGGGAGGAGGAAGTCCCACCCCCACAGAATCAGCCAGAATCAGCCATTGGTCAGACAGCTCTCAGTGGCCTGACCGCCAGGACTCTCATTCACCTGCATCTCAGACCGTGACAGTAGAGAGGTGGGACTATGTCTAAAGAACAACTGTTGATACAACGTAGCTCTGCAGCCGAAAGATGCTGGCGTTATTGACAGAAAATGTCTGAAGAGCAATGTGCGTCTGATCTTGAAAGAAGGCGGTGCCTGCGAAAGAATGTATCTGAAGACCAACTACTGGAAAAACGTTGCTCTGATGCTGAAAAACACTGGCATCAACAGAAAATGTCTAAAGACCAACGTGCCTTTGAATTTGAAAGAAGGCGGTGGCAATGACAGAATATGTCTAGAGAACAGTTATCAACAAGTACTACCAATACTGGTAGGAATTGACTTCTCAGCAAAAATGGAGTACATGAGGATGCAATTCTCGAACATAGTTGTGGTGGAATGACTGTAGATGTGAATTTTGCCTATCACTAAATTTCTCTGATGAAAAACCATCCGATGGGAAATTTACTCGATGTTGTAGCAAAGGGAAAGTCTGTCCAAATGATATACATTTTCCAGCTTACCCAGCATATTTAAAAAGATTAATGACAAACGAAGATCCTGACAGTAAAAATTTCATGGAAAATATTCCTTCCATAAATAGTTCTTTTGCTTTTGCTTCCATGGGTGCAAATATTGCATTGCCATCCGGATATGGGCCATACTGTTTTAGAATACACGGACAAGTTTATCACTGTACTGGAACTTTACATCCTTCAGATGGTGTTTCTCGGAAGTTTGCTCAACTCTATATTTTGGATACAGCCGAAGCTACAAGTAAAAAGTTAGCAATGCCAGAAAACCAGGGCTGCTCAGAAAGACTCATGATCAACATCAACAACCTCATGCATGAAATAAATGAATTAACAAAATTGTACAAGATGCTACATGAGGTAGAAAAGGAAGCCCAATCTGAAGCAGCAGCAAAAGGTATTGCTCCCACAGAAGTAACAATGGCAATTAAATAGGATCGTAATAGTGACCCAGGTAGATACAATTCTCCCCGTGTAAACGAGGTTGCTGTCATATTCAGAAACGAAGATGGAGAACCTCCTTTTGAAAGGGACTTGCTCATTCATTGTAAACCAGATCCCAATAATACAAATGCCACTACAATGAAACAAATCAGTATCCTGTTTCCTACATTAGATGCAATGACATCCTATTCTTTTTCCATATGGTGAAAAAGGCTGGGGAACAGATATTGCATTAAGACTCAGAGACAACAGTGTAATCGACAATAATACTAGACAAAATGTAAGCACACGAGTCACACAAATGCAGTATTACGGATTTCATCTCTCTGTGCGGGACACGTTCAATCTTATTTTAAATGCAGGAAAATTAACTCAACAGTTTATCGTGGATTCATATTCAAAAGTGGAGGCCAATCGGATAAATTTCATCAAAGCAAACCAATCTAAGTTGAGAGGTGAAAAATATAGTGGTTTGATGGATTATCTCAAATCTAGATCTGAAAATGACAATGTGCCGATTGGTAAAATGATAATACTTCCATCATCTTTTGAGGGTAGTCCCAGAAATATGCAACAACAATATCAGGATGCTGTGGCAATTGTAACGAAGTGTGGCAAGCCTGATTTATTCATAACTACGACATGCAACCCCAAATGGGCAGATATTGCAAACAATTTACAATGCTGGCAAAAAGTTGAAAACAGACCTGACTTGGTAGTCAGAGTTTTTAATATTAAGCTGAATGCTCTTTTAAATGATATCAGTAAATTCCATTTATTTGGCAAAGTAATAGCTAAAATTCATGTCATTGAATTTCAGAAACGCGGACTGCCTCATGCTCACATATTATTATTATTATTATTATTATTATTTTTAATATATATTTTATTGATTTTTCACAGAGAGGAAGGGAGAGGGATAGAGAGTTAGAAACATTGATGAGAGAGGAACATCGATCAGCTGCCTCCTGCACACCCCCTACTGGGGATGTGCCCGCAACCAAGGTACATGCCCTTGGCCGGAATCGAACCTGGGACCTTTCAGTCCGCAGGCCGACGCTCTATCCACTGAGCCAAACCGGTTAGGGCTCACATATTATTGATATTAGATAGTGAGTCCAAATTATGTTCCTCTAATTCCCTTTCAATGTGTACGAATTTCATGCACCAGGCCACTAGTCTGAATATATATAATTGGTTTCCTTTGTAATCTTGTGTATTGTATTTTATACATTTAAAAACCTGATTTTGAGAAGAAATTTATGCCCTTCTTTACCAGGCTGCCAACAGGAGTCCCTAGCATGAGAAAGTTTAAGAACCAGGAGCATAGGGGCAAGATTATTGAATCTGTTCTGATTTCTGTACCCTGGAAAGTTGGTTTGTTAGGGTTTCCTTCCTGGGGGGCTTCCTAGAGGAGCTGGCTAGTGTTTGAGCATGACCTTGGCATGTGGGCAGCATTTTGGCCATAGTAGTATTGGGGAGGAGGGTCAGGGAGACATTGCCAGCTGGTGGTTAGCCCTCTCTTCATTGACTGCCATGACTGTCGCCTGGCCAAGTAGTCTGGAGCAAGACTGTCTGGGTTCATCCCAGCTATAGTGTACTTTTGACTGGCTGGATGCCTCAGCTAGTGGATTTCTTACCCACTCCATGCCTCAGTTTCCTCATCTGTAGCATGAACATAATAATAGTATCTATTTTTAGGGTTATTGGGAGAGTAAAATGAGTAGGCACATGTCTGCTAAGACAGAAGGTTCTAGGTTGTCCTCTCAGAGCTCATCTCCCTGACTTAGTAAATTCCTGGCCTAAACTGAAATGGGATGGTGAACAATATAGACAGTGGCTTCTCAGTCTGAAGACATTCATTTATCCATGAAATATCTATTTAAATATGAACAACTATACTAAATATTCAAAAGCACCTATATATATAAAAGGCTAATACGCTAAGTGTCCGACCATCCAACTGGTCGCTGTGATGCACACTGACCACCAGGGGGCAGACGCTCAACACAGGAGCTGCTGTGATGCACACTGGCCATTTACAGAGAAACGGCACGACGGACCTGGCTTCCCCCAAGTGGGACATGGGCCCCACCACCACCCCGGAGCGACACCCCACCAGATCGCAGCTGACACTGCCAAGACCCCATGGAGCAAAATCCAGCCCACAGCCCAACCCAGCCTGGAAACGGTGCCTGTGGGCACCAGGTAATGACATCACATAGCAACGCCCGGCTTCCTCTCCCTAGCAACTAGCCTCCTTGTAGTTTCTTCAGCCTAGGAACATGACTTGCTTTATAGCCAGGTGGAAACATTTACACTTTAACCAAATGTCTGTGACTTGTTTTCCTGTGCCTCATCTCATTTGATCCTCACAGAAGTCCTAGAGTAGGTAGATAGGAGACTCAGTAGAATCCTATTTTCTTTTCATTAGCCGGAAAATGGAGATTTAGAAAGCTTAGAAACTTGACCCGACTGAAAAGAAATAAGAAATGGTGGACCTTGGAAATGACTTCAGGTTTTCTCACTGCACAGAATATAGTCAAACACTGCTTCAGTTAAATATTTCACCCTTTGTTCTCTCTGCACAATCTACATTAATAATCTGCTTCATGTTAATATTTACTGTTGTGTTGCTGACAGTTACCTGAAAGAGAAGTTGGGGTGCTTCGCTCGGCTGGAAAAAGTTTAGCTAAATCAGAAAGCAGGTCTAATTAAACAAGTTTATTCTATATATATATAAAAGGCTAAGTTGACTCGCGCATGCGTAATACATATAAAGCTCACGCTGGCGCCAATCGCACATGTGTTTTTTGATCTGTCATTGTCGATCGTGAATTTGGTTGCTACTTCTATTACATAGAAAGGGCAAATAGCAATATTAAAATATTTCTTCTAATTAATTTCCTTTCAGTGTGCATGAATTCGTGCACCAGGCCACTAGTAAATTAATAATATAAAGTTACATGTGAGGATAAGTGCTATTTCTCTGCCACTCCTCACAAGTGTCTGAAGGAAATGTGCTCAGAATGGCCTACTATCTGCCCCAGTCACCTCCCTGTCCTCCTCTCCCACCACTTGTCCCCTCACTCACCCTGCACAAGGCACATGGACCTCCTGTTGCTACTCAAATGCTCCCCCTACATACACCTGCCTCAGGTCCTCTGCCATTCTCGTGACCTGGAATATTCTTTCTCAGCTAGCCACATAGTTCTTAGTCTCTTACATTCATGTCTCTGTCCTCTCCTTAAGCCTCTGACCACTCTGTGAAATAGCAGCTGCATCACTCTCTGCACCCTGCTCCCTGACTTCATATTGTGTGTTTATTGTCTTCCTCACCTAATGGAATGTCTGCTCGCTGAGTATAACAACTTTGTCTTGATCACTGGTATCCCTTGGTGCCTGGCACAGAGCAGGTGCTCAATAAATACTTGTTGAGGGAGTGAATTTGTAAATGACAGAATACAATTAGCAGAAAGGCTCCGGTTGGCCAAAAATATAGCCTTATTCTTTTCTGTCTCTGTAGAAGCACAATCTTTGACATCAGCTCTCCTGGGACCCTCAAGGAACACTAGAGTTCAGAATGTACTAAGGGTGAGTACAGTATGGTTGTTTATTTGTTTGCTTACATTTTACAACTAATACACCTAAGCCTCTTTTTTTTTTTTAAATGAATTTGAAAGAGTGTCAAGGGAAAGATGGAAGTCTCCTTCATTGCCCCTCTATACCAAAAGTCTAACTTCCTCAGAAGTAATTACCACCAGAAGTTGAGTAGGTGTCCTGCCAGACCTCTTCCCATTCATGAACATATATGTATATATATGTGTGTGTGTGTGTGTGTGTGTGTGTGTGTATTTGTGTATTTTTTTGAGTTTGCCATTTAAAGAGAAAAGCCATTCTATGTGGCTGCTGCCTCTATAGCAGCTTCCCACTGTCCTCAACAGTAATATACCTTGGAAGTCTTTGTTCACAGCATGCATCAGTGTGTCATTCTTTTTTTTCAACTTTTTAAACTCAGTTTTTTAAATTTACAGAAAGTAAAATTCAATCTTTGGTATATAGTTTCTGAGTTTAGGCAAATGCATGCACTTGTGTAACTGTCACTACAATCATGATAGAAAATGGCCCCATCACCCACCCGTGTGGATGTGCTGTTCCTCCATAAACAAAAAATATAGTGTAGGTATCCTATGTAATAGAAGCCTAATATGCAAATTGTCCCCTCTACTGGGAGTTTGACTGGGAGTTCTACTGCTCACTATGACATGCACTGACCACCAGGGGGCGGTGCAGAACATGGCGGGCGTCAGCTACACAGAGCTAGCAGCAGGCAGCAGTGGAGGCATTGCCGGCTCCAGTGGACCCTGACCAGTGTGGGACCAAGGTGGTATGGTGGAGCAGGTGAGTGGGTAGCACCAGGCCAAGACAGGTGTGAGTGGGGCCCAATCGCCCCGCCAATTGCCCCGCAGATGGCGACCAGCAGCGGTGGAGGGGAGCGGGGCCACCATCCAGCTCCCAGGCACTGAGGGAGCCGGGTGGGGGCCCAATAACTCAGGTGGAGAGGGGCATGTGGGGACCCAGGGGCCCAGGTGCTGCCCAAGGCCCAGAGGTAAACTGGGACCTGCCCTTCCACGCCAGACGCTTGCGCTTCAATCGCTGGCTAGGCCTCGGGACTGTATCTGTGCACGAATTTCATGCACCAGGCCTCTAGTTTACACATAATTACACATAAGGGTTTTGAATATGTTACATTTAAGTTTCATGGGGATTGTTAATGAATACCTTCTTGTGTTTCTTTGGGATGGAGTCTAAGCAGGGGAGTGGGCCTCAGAATATGAGGCATTCCTGTTGGGCCATTTCTAAGTGGGACACCAGCCTTTGTTGGCAGGATGCAGGGAGGGTGCTTAGGGCAGCGGTTCTCAACCTGTGGGTCATGACCCCTTTGGGGGTCGAACGGCCCTTTCACAGGGGTCGCCTAAGACCATCGGAAAACACATATATAATTACATATTGTTTTTGTGATTAATCACTATGCTTTCATTATGTTCAATTTGTAACAATGAAAATACATCCTGCATATCAGATATTTACATTACGATTCATAACAGTAGCAAAATTACAGTTATGAAGTAGCAACGAAAATAATTTTATGGTTGGGGGTCACCACAACATGAGGAACTGTATTAAAGAGTCGCGGCATTAGGAAGGTTGAGAACCACTGCTTTAGAGCTTTCTATATACAATATCATGTCATCTATATGTATAAAAGCTAGGTGACCAGTATGACCGGTCGCTATGACACAAACTGTGGCCAACCAGCCGACCTGATTGGGGCTGGGGCTGGGGCTGGGGCTGGTGGCCAACCTCCTGCAGCCCCTCCCCCTAGCCAGCCTGGCTATCCACCCCCACCCTGATCAGGGGCAGGGACGGTTGGCCAACCTCCTGTGGCTCCATCTCCCTCCTCTCCCCGCCCCCCCCCACCTCACCCCCGCCAGCCCAGCCCCAACCACCTGATTGGGGCGCGGCCAGCCAGACCCCACCCGTGCACGAATTTGTGCATTGGGCCTCTAGTCTGGAAAAAATGAGAGTTTTGCTTCCTCCTTTCCAATTAGGATGCCTTTTATTTTTTCTTCTTGTCTTTTCACTGTGGCTAGTACTTCCAGTACTATGTTGAATAAGAGTGGTGAAAGTGGACATCCCTATCTTGTTCCTGTTCTTAGGGGAAATGGTTTTAATTTTTGCCCATTGAGTATGATGTTTGCTGTAGGTTTGTCATAAATAGCCTTTATCATGTTGAGATATGCTCCCTGTATTCCTACTTTGCTGAGAATTTTTATAAAAAATAGGTGTTGGCCCACCTAGCATGGCTCAGTGGTTGAGCGTTGACATATAAACCAGGAGGTCACAGTTTGATTCCTAGTCAGAGCAAGTGCCCAGGTTGTGGGCTTTATCCCCAGTGTGGGGCATGCAGGAGGCAGCCAATAAAAGAATCTCTCTCATCATTGATGTGTGTATCTCTCTCTCCCATTGCCTTCCTCTCTGAAATCAATAAAAAATTACATATACTTTTTAAAAAGGTGTTGGAGTTTTTCGAATGCTTTTTCTGCATCTGTTGATATGATCATTTGGTTTTTGTCTTTCAATTTGTTTATGTGATGTATCACATTTATTGATTTGCGAATATTGAAATTGCCTTGCATACCTGGAATAAATCCCACTTAGTCATGGTGTATGATCTTTTTAATATATTGCTGGATCCAATTTGCTAATATTTTGTTGAGGATTTTAGCACCTGTGTTCATCAGGGATATTGGCCTCTAATTCTCTTTCTTGGTAGTGTCTTTATCTGGTTTTGGAATTAGGATAATGCTGGCCTCATAAAAAGAGCTTGGAAGTGGATTTTTTGTTCATAGTATTTTCTTACAACCCTTTATATTTCTACTAGAGGCTCGATGCACGAAATTCGTGCAAGGGGCTTGGCCCTTGAAGCCTTGGCTTCGTCCGGAAGGTCGTTCAGCTGTCCAGTCTAATTAGCATATTATGCTTTTATTATTATTACTAGAGGCCCGTTGCACAAAGAGATTCGTGCAATAGGCCTTCCCTTCCCCTGGCTGCCGGCACCGGTTTTCCTCCAGCACCCAGGACTCAGGCCTTTGCTCCGGCCAGAGCCTTCAGTCTTCGCCGCTCCCGCTCCGCTGCTTTGCGCCTATGTATGCAAATTAACCGCCATCTTTGTTGGGTTAATTTGCATACTCTCCTGATTGGCTGGTGAGCATAGCGGAGGAATGGTCAATTTACATGTTTGTCTATTATTAGGTAAGATAGATGGTTTCAGTCATTATTTACCCACTTTCATTTCTGATTTTATTTTTCTGGGTCCTCTCTCTTTGTTTCTTGATGAATCTGGCTAATGGTTCATCAATCTTGTTTATCCTTTCAAAGAACCAGCTCTTGGTTTCATTGGTTTTCTTGTGGTTTTTTGTTTGTTTGTTTTTTGGTTTTTTTTTTAGTCTCTGTCATTTATTTCTACTCCAATCCTTATTATTTCCTTCCTTCTATTTACTCTAGGCTTTGTTCTCTTTTTAGTTCTTTATGTTGTAGAGTTAAATAGCTTATTATTAATTTTTCTTGTTTTCTTGAGGTAGGCCTGTAGTGTTATGAACTTCCTCTTAGGACTGCTTTTCCTGTGTCCCAGAGATTTTGGGTTGTTGTGTGTTTATTTTCATTTGTTTCCAGGACCTTTTTTTTTTCATACTTGATCTCGTTGGTAACCCATTCATTGCTTAATAACATGCTATTTAGCTTCCATGTGTTTGAATGTTTGGGGGAATTTTTACTGTAATTGATTTCTAATTTCATTCCACTGTGATCTGAAAAGATGCTTGATATGATTTCAGTCTTGAACTTGTAGAGACTTGTTTTGTGTACTAACATGTGGGCTATCATTGTGAGTGATCCATAGCTTTTGGGTGAAATGTCCTATAAATGTCAGTTAAATCCATTTGATTCAGTGTGTCCTTTAGAGTCACTGTTTCCTTAAGTTTTTGTCTGGAAGATCTCTCCAGTGAAGTCAGCAGGGTGTTAAAATCCCCTACTGTGACTGTATTGTTGTTGATTTTTCCCTTAAAGTCCTCTAGAAGTTTTTTTTATATATTTAGGTGCTCCTATATGGGGTCATATATGTTTACCAAGGTTATATCCTCTTGTTGCATAAATTTCTGTAGTATTATGGCGTGACCTTTGTTGTCTCTTGTGATGTATTTAGAAATGTATTTTGTCAGATATGAGTATTGCTACTCCAGCTTTTTTTGTTATCGATTTGCATGGAATTTTTTTTTCTATCCCTTCACTCTCATCCTGTGTGTGTCTTTTGTTCTGAGGTGGGTCTCTTGTAGATAGCATATAGTTGGGTCATGTTTTTGTATCCATTCAGCTACCCTATGTCTTTTTATGGGAGCATTTAACCCATTTACATTTAAGGTTATTATTGATAGGAATTTACTTATTTATTGCCATTTTAATTCTGTATGCCTAGGTTTCTCTCTATTTCTTCTTCTCATTACAGAAGTCCCCTATAGCATTTCTTGTAATGCTGGCTTGGTGGCAATGTACTCCTTTGTCCTTTTTTGTCTGGGAAGGTCTTTATTTGAGCATCTATTTTGAATGATAGCCTTGCTCAATATAGTAATCTTGTGGCCTGTATTGTTTCTGATGAGAATCAGGTGTCAGCCTTATGGGAGCTCCTTTGTAGGTAACAGTTTGCTTTTCTCTTGCTGCCTTTAAAATTCTCTCTTTGTCTTTAACTTTTGGCATTTTAATTATGATATGTCTGAGTGTGGGCCTGTTAAGAGTCTTCTTGCCTGGGACTCTCTGTGCCTCCTTAACTTGTGTGGCTTTTTCCTGTACCACATTTGGGAAGTTTTTTGCCATTATTTTTTCAAACATGTTCTCTATCTTGTTCTCATTAACACCTGCTCTTCGAATATTGTTAGGTTTCACGTGTCACACGGCCCCCTTAAGCTGTCCTCCTATTTTTTAATTGTTTTTTCTTTTTGGTTCTCTGTTTGAGTGATTTTTTTCAACCCTGTCTCTAA